TGCAGGAAAAGAACCTTTTACTAGGTGAATACGGCTGACAGAACTGAGCTTTCAGGCACACACTCCCTTTCCCTAATGACCCTGAACTCATTGAAAGGTATTTCACCTTCCAGCTCTTTGCACCATTGGATCCTCAGACCATCAGAGCTCCACCAGCCTCTCTCATCCTTTGCGCCTTCTCCCCACTCAAGCTGATGAGCAGCTTTTATAAGAAAAAATGCAGTTCAACAAGGTGATCCAATCTGTAAATGCAACTTACCCTGCCAAAAACAGCTACTGCCTTTTTCTTTCAGAAATGAGTCATCAGAAGTAATGAAAATGTATTGCATTTTAAACCAAAGAGGAAAAGAAAGGAAAGCACTCACAGAGGATTCAGCAAAGCCAATATGGCTTATCCTGTTGGCTGCTCAGTTATTGCAGCCCTTTGCTACTTTACCATTTGTCTTGTTTGGAGATTGTGCTCAGATAATTCAGTGATGGGCACAACAGAAATTAAATAAATCATAGCTGATCGTGAAATAATACAACATAGGAATATTTAAATAGACTGTGAAGTATTTACATCATGGTGATGACAGTTGTCACAGAGACCAAAAAAATCCCTTTTAACAAAACTTAATTTATATCCTTGTTCCTCAAGCCCTACTATCCATTTTTTGGCTAATGTAGAATGATGTAAAAATATCATTCAGTATCTTGTACTGTTTATACTTTCTAGGATTTCTGTTGTGTTTTCTAAAAGCTCTGAGTATTTTTTAGTTTGAAAAAAATATATATCATTTTGGTAGAAACATTGCAGTTCTGTGTTTCCTTTTGGTACTCAGCTGAAGAAATAAAGAAAAAAAAGAGCAGAAAATTTGGAGAGGTGGATAGTAGATCACAAGGAGAAAAGTTACAGGAGATGAGTACATTTCGACTGCCACTGCTTAAGAGCATGTCTCACAAAAAGCAGACTGGCTACATTGTCCCAGCTCCATCATTTCAACTCTCCATGACTTGTTTCCTGCTTTGTAAATCTGAGTTGAGCCATTTTTACCTAATATGAATAATAACTATAATACATACTTACAGTTCTCTTGTATTACTGCACCAGCATTGGGTGCCCTTGGAATATTTTAGCGTATTGCAATGCCATCCTTTAATTTACACAGGTTCAAGATATTATTTGTAGCTTATTCTTTCATTTGTAGCAAAAGTAAAAAAAATACTGCACATGATCAGTAACAGAACTGTTATGTCTATGGGATGCACATGATGATTTAAGTACTGCTTCATTCTGTGTGACTCCAGGCTTTGAGAAAGAGTAATCCCACTTGGCATTTTGACTCAGTTTGGTCTCAGTAATTATGGATCCAGAGTAACTTGTTAGAAGCTTGTGAAAAAGTGTCTCTGAAATTTACAGCAGAGCTCAAGTGGGGATGAGGGGTGGGATCTTAGAAGCTTGTGAAAAAGTGTCTCTGAAATTTACAGCAGAGCTCAAGTGTACAAAAGGATGAGAATTCAATGAATAATTCAATGAATACTAAGAATAAGTTTGAAAAGCATATACAGTTATTCTACTGGCCATGTCCAGTTGTTGCCCACTGTTACAGTACAGTGCACAATATCACCAGGAAAATTATGAATGTCATCTTCAGAACGATCTATTAACACATTTTCTTTTTGATCAAATTTATGTTCTACAAATTACCAAGCTGTTTTGCCTTTTTGAGGCACTTGTCTTTTCATGTTAAGTATTTACATGTATAATTCAGGTGGTTCCTGAATCTGCTTGAGGAACCCAAAACGAACTTTTAGGTTTT